GCAACCGCTGGAGCACCTGATGTACATGGCGAACATGAGAGTCTGAATCTGGGGAAAAGATCAAGATGTCATCCAAGTATACATAGACAGTGGTTCAGGAAGTCTCTGAGATCATCATTGATCAAAGCTTGGAAGACAGCAGGAGCGTTAGTCAACCCAAATGGCATAACAAGGTATTCATAATGACATGAGGTGTGTTGAAGCCCGTCTTCCATTCTTCCCCCTTTCGGATTCGAACCAGATGATATGCATTCCTCAAGTCTAACTTGGTGAAGACCTGGGCCTGCTGAAGTTGATCAAAGGCTGACGACATGAGTGGCAGAGGGTATCGATTCTTAACCGTATTGTCACTGAGTTGCCCATAGTCAATGCATGGTCGGAGAGACCTATCCTTTTTCCCCAAAAAAAAGAATCCCGCCCCTGCTAGAGATGAAGAGGGATGGATAAGACCAGCTTTTAAAGAGGTCTCAATATATTTGGTCATTGCTTTCCTCTCAGGACCAGAGATTGAATATAATCTTCCCTTGGGAATAGAGGCCCCTGAGATCAAATCAATGGGGCAATCATAAGGTCTGTGGGGAGGAAGAGAAGTAGCCTTACTTTTGCTAAAAACTTCTCCCAGGTCATGGTAACAACTGGGCACCGAGGTCAGGTCGGGAGCTTCAGAGTCTGTGTTAGGATTAGCAGAGACTGGGTTACAAACAGTTTTCATTTGCATGAAATGAGGCCGGGAGGTTCATGGACAACGAACAAGACGAACTGGCACAGAACAAAGGGAAACACAGACAGATATACACAAGGTAATGGGGAACAGGTGGAAACAATCAGGGTGGGGAAGACAATCAGACCAATGGGAGACACCAGGAGGAAGGGCAAGTTACCTGAAATGAGAGGAGAGTCAAATGTCAAAATAAAACAGGAAGTGACGAGACAACATAGACTCAAGACAGAAAACTAAGCACAACCAGACACAGATCATGACAGGTTTGCTGTGTTTTTCTTTTCCAAACTTGACACCAGCTGGGGGTAAACTAGATTAACATAAGTGTTTTAATTCCTGACTATATAAACTTCAAAAATGACTTGTCTGAATAATTATGTTAATTTTCTTATGATTAAAAGGCTAATATCTTAGCCTAAAGCATTATTTGATGAATAAACTTAACTTCATGTAATTGTACTACTTTAAGAATAAGTTGTAACTACCCTATTAAATTAAGTAACTCATAATCATATCATACAAGTTTAAATAACCCAAGAAAATCAAGTCAGATCCACCTATGGTAAATATGTTACATTTACCTATACAAATCTAGTTGGACTGAACCATGGTAATTAACTAACTGTAACCCCAGTACATCATGTTGACCCAGCATATTTACATTTAGTTGAGTCAACAAAATTATTTCTCATTAAATTAAACCATTTCATTTAGGTGGAAATTCTTTCCATAATTTTATTATGTTCACCCAACAAGTTATTTTTTTGAGTGTACACCCATGAGCTGTCCTACTTAAACTGTGAATTAAATATTATACTTTGTGTTGTGCTAAGATCAGATTACTGTGACTGATCATCTAGACAAATATAAGGTTGTATTTGTATTTTTAAATATCCAGTGTAGTCCCACACAGAAATGTAATAAATGACATATGTCCATATATTATTGTCACATATATACATCCTCTGGATATATGAAGATATCAGTTTATAACATATGAAATACACATAGTACAAAAAATATCTATATCATGCAACATATGCAACATAAGATATTTGTGATAGATACATATTTAATTTATAAATGTGAGTTTATTAAAACAACATACTTTATAACTTTTAATATAAATGAAAAAAGTTATAGATGTTTTTCTTATTTACTTTACACATAATATATTTTGTATTTACTGTACATATATATATTATATCAATATATAGACAGGTTTTGCAATGATATACAGTAGCCTATGTATATATATATATATATAAAATAGGTCTATAATATAAGCATATAAATAAACATAAATATTTGTATGTGACAGATATAGAGTATATGTCAATATATGAAATAATTCAATTTTTTAACAGGTTTGATTTAGAGTTTCTAGATGTATGTATGGTCATATATTTAATGTATGGAAAAAATATTATATGTGCATATATTACATTTGCATATGGAGTAGTTCAGGTGTAATGGGATATTCTGTCTGAAACATCTTGACTCGTTTATGTATTGTTGTAATGTAGTGTAAACAGTATTTACAGCTCATGTGTCAAACTAATGAAAATGTTTTCTGAAGTTGTGTGTTTTGTGTTTTCTGAAGCTGTGTGTTGAGCTTCAGGGCCACCATAGGTTTGACCAGAATACCTGCAAAACAAATGTTTGCATGCTAACACAGTAAAAATGTTGCACGATGTCATTATTAACAGCTGAGCAGCAGATACTTGTTCAGAGTAATAATCAAAGTGACAGATACTTTCAATCTGAATCTCCTACTTTGTGGACAATGTCCAGTCACTGGACACAACGTCCTCCCGATGACTGTGTCACCGTGACGGCAGCAGTGTGCCACCTGTCCATAAAGTGGAACCTCTGTCCAGAACATATTGATTTCTTTTGGATAGAGCCTTTGTCTTTTCCGCTGTTTGTAGAAAAACCCAGACAGACATAGTCCATTGTTCCACATGCTCCACTGCGTCTAATTCTGCTTTAGCTAATGAGAAACAGCTGAAGGTCTACAAGGAGTTGACATGAGGACATTGGATTCTCTGTTCAGACAGTTAGTGTTTGCATAGGTAATTTGTATAAAAATCTCTAGAACTCAGAACCAAGTCTGTTTTTATAAGTTTACTCTGTTTGGAGCTTTCACCAGCCTGCTGCTAGTTGTCCTATAGCATGCTGTGGGTGGTGAGCTTATGGGCTGGGGCAGCTCAGCCTACCTGGCTGGCCTGAGTTCTTGGTATTCTGTGTCACTGTCCATGGCCTCACCATCCTTGTCCACCATGGTTTGGGTCAGGCTATTCCGCTGCTTGCTGAGTTGCTCAGTATGACTACCTAAAGCCTCTGTCTCTGCTGGTCTCAAGTACACTCAATTGTCCCCTCTACATCGACCAGGTATGATCTAGGGCCCACCTGTTGCAGACACACTCCTCTGCTCCACCTGCCAGTCCTGTCTCCAGGTAGAGGCTTCATTCTGATATCTTGGCCAATAGACAGCTTGGGCAGGTCTCTGACCGACTTGTCATTCCAGAATTTTGTTTGGTGTTTCACCTGCAGCTTCTCAGTGACTCCTGTGATAACGCTTGGCTCCAAGAGTGTGTCAGAAACTCGGGGTGGGGTTCTCAGTCTCTGAGCCATCAGTCTTTGAGCTGGACTGCTATTCATTCCCTCTGTGGGCGTGTTTCTCCATTGTAGAATGGCTATCCATGGGTCTTTACCTGCGCTGGCTGCCTTCTTGCACAGGTTTTTTACTATCTTCACAGCCGACTCAGCTGTGCCTAAATGTTTCACTGGCAAACTGGGATCCACAGTCTGTAATCACATGGTCAGGCTGGCTGTGCTGTGCAAACTGGGCACCCCAGTACTGTCGTTTCTGCTGAGAGATCTGGGAGCAGCTCTATTTCCCAGAAATCCAAATAATGATCCACCATGAGCAGAAATTCTTTGCCTGCTTGTCTGAACAGCTCCATGCTCAGAATCTTGCCATGGCGGATGTGACATGGGTCACTCACATGTTCATGTGAATATTCATTGCATGCTGAGCACTAGCTCACGTAGCTATATCTGCCATACAGATAGTAATGAAAGCGCTGACAACCCAGAATCAATTTCTTTTGAAAATTTTATATTATTGCTTTTTTTAAAGCACACTAAAGAAAAGTGGGCATTAAATGGCCGGCTGCGCGTAAGACAGACTGAACTGCTTTGTCTGGGGCTGGGCTGGCTGTGGCACTGTGGTGGGAGGGTGCTGTTTGCAACTTTTAGTGTTACCGACAGTGAAGACAGCTCAGCAGAAGATCCGTTACTGAGTTAGGAGAGGAAGCTGGTTAGGTAGAGAGGGACCGGGGACTAGTAAGTGCCTTTGTCTGAGCTTCCCCAGGGCTTTTATCACTGTTTACTCCAAACACTATCCTCACGCCATCATGCTCTCACCATTGGCTTCATCCTGATTATATCTCATGGATGTATTATATGACCTGGATCTCAGATCTAAAAATGGCACCCGTTCAGTTCTATAGAAATTGTTGGCCCAGCGCATACGCAAAAAAGTGTCTGGCTTCTGGGTTATTTTCATGTTATGCGGCCCACTGAATATGTGCATTAGTGTCACTCCCATTATGTCTCTGGGCTATGAGAACAAGCAAACAGCATTTTGGATCGGGTACTGTGCGTTCATTAATGCTATGCCAGTGGACTTCATGGACAGGTAATAATACTTCTTAAGGACTTGAAACCATGGTTTTAAACAAATGGCAACAGCAAAAAAAAACAAAACAATGAAGATAATGTTCTGAAAATAAGATGGTGTTAAACCTATGATCGTTGATGTCAAGGATAATTTGTGTTGATTGAGTTAATTGTGACGTTAAAGGGAAAACGAGTCATTCCGTTAAAAGCTTTAGGGCTTAAAATCAGATTGGATGAATCATAATTGGACAAAATATTTAGTTTGACCTGTTTTTTGAGCATTTTTAATAAGAAATTGATGTTGCATGTGAGAGATATTACAACTTGTCAGATAAAATTATCAAGGGCTTTACTTCACCTTTTTATATTGAAACGCCATGTATTTTCATTAAATACATTACTGTCCCAGATATTCGAATTGACAAATATGAAATAAATCAATTTTTCTTAGATACACCATTGGTGCACCTGGACACATCATCAGTGATGTAACCTAGGATCACAGGGGGTTTCGGGTCTTTCAACAATCAGACCCCCTCCCCTAGGCGACCCAGCCAGGGTTGATCAGGCCCCAGCTTGTGTCCAGGTATTGCTACTGCCCTACATGCCACGCCTCACACCTCCTGATCCACAGCCACCTTGATGCCACTTCTGCTGCATCAGTGGCTAACTTGGTGGCCCTGTGCTGGCTGGCCCCTGTGATGCCAAGCATCTTGTAGGCCCTGCAGAGGGATTGGCCCACAAACCCTCGACATCCCACTTCAATGGGTTGGCATATCGCTCGCCACCCATTGCTCCGGCATTCCTCCAGCAGCTGAGAATACTTCGCCCTCTTCCTCTCATTAGCCTCCTCCATCCGGTCCTCCCAAGGCACTGTGAGCTCCAAGAGGATCACCTGCTCGGAGGCCACTGAGGTAAGCACAATGTCTGGTCTTAGTGTTGTTTTGGCAACCACTTCAGGGAACTTCAACTGCTTGCCTAGATCAACTGACAGTTCCTAGTCGGGCGCCGTTGCTAACAGGCCAGATGAGGTGTTCCAGGCAGCTGGCGCTGACTTCTCCCCAGCTCTGACAAAGGTGGTGCTCTTCACTGGGCGAAGGCTCTTGCTGTGGCTAATCCCACTGCAGATGGAATCCGCTATAGCTTTCAGGACCTGGTCATGTCGCCAGCGGTACCGTCCTTCACCCAGAGCTTTTGGACAGCAGCTGAGGATGTGCTCCAAGGTTCCTCTCCTCTGGCAGAGGGGGCACGCTGGTGTCTCCACCTTCCCCCAGGTGAAGAGGTTGGATGGACTTGGCAGCACGTCGTAGACCGCCTGGATTAGGAATTTTATACGATGGGGTTCGGCCTTCCACAGCTCAGTCCATGTGACCTTGCGCTCTGCTGCTTACTCCCATCTCATCCAGGCGCCCTGTTGCCGCATCCCCACCATCTGGCAGGCTCGCCTCTCCTCCACTCCTGCTCGCACCTCCTCGAGGATCAGTGACCTCCTCTCTTTCCCCTGTGCCTTGTCGTAACGAGGTGTTCTACTACTGCCTAGGCCAGCTCTCCCCTGTGCCACTGTTCCCACCAACACCCTTTGCCGTAGCCTTGACTCTGCGACGCCCACAGCCTCGGCCGCTCTCCACTTCCACCCCGTCCTGACTTCAATCCCAGCCTGGGCAACCTTTGGGTCACTGGACTCCCGGTACTGTAGGAGCTCCCTGGACCACGTCACCATGAACTCCTCACTCAGGCTGCTGATGGGGAGCCTCAGCTTGTTGTTCTGCCTGTATAGAGCAATGCTGCTCAGGCTTCACGGCAGTCCCAGCCACCTACGCAGAAACCTGCTGATCCTCATCTCAAAGCCTTCCACCATTGAAATTGGGACCAAGAGGGGCCAGAGAATTCTAGGGAGAATGCCGTGTTGGTAAATCCAGGCCTTAAACTTGCCAAGGAGGCCAGACTTGTCCACCACGGCCAGCCAGGTCTTCAGGTCTTGGTTGGTCGCTCTTATGGAGGCTGCATCTCTCAGGCTCCCAGGCTCTTCACAGGTTCCTCTGTGAGTGATGGTATCTTGGTGGTGCCAAGTGAGAAGGAGAACTCAGTAATCTTCCCTTTCTTCAGCACGAGGGACCTCGACTTAGCCGGCTTGAAGTTCATGCGAGCCCAGGAAATCTGCTCCTGAAGGCCATTCAGGATCCACCTGCAGCCTGGGACAGATGTAGTGGTCACTGTCAGATCGTCCATGAAGGCTCGGATGGGTGGCTGTCGGACTCCAGACTTGGAGAGGGGCCCCCTACACTGAACTTCCGCAGATTTCACCAGCATGATCATGGCGAGTGCAAAGAGTATGACTGAGATTGTACAGCCAGTGATGATCCCCTTTTCAAGCTTGTGCCAGTTGGAGGTTGTTGTGCCGGAGGAAACTCTGAGGTGGAAGTTGGCATAGTAGTCCAGAATGAGGTCTCTGAACTTCTTTGGGATGTAATACCGGTTCAGTGCCTCTTCGACCAGCTTGTGAGGTATGGATCCATTTGCGAGATCCAGCCACAGTACAGCCAGGTCCCCCTTGTTCTCCCTGGCTTCCCCGATAAGCTGAGTGACCACGCCTGTGTGCTCCAGACACCCAGATAACTCTGGGATCCCTCCGTTCTGGACAGATGTGTTGATGTAGGAATTCTTCAGGAGGTAGTCTGTCAGTCGCCTTGCAATGAGGCTGAAGAAGATCTTCCCTTCAACACTCAATAGCGAGATGGTTCGGAACTGATTGATGTTCTGAGACTTCTCCTCCTTTGGGATCCACACACCCTCTGCCTGTCTCCACTGGTCTGCTACCTTGCCCCTCCTCCAGATCACCTTCAGGATCTTCCAGAGTCTGTGGAGTAGTCTTGGACAGTTCTTATAAACCTTATAAGGTACTCCACTGGGCCCTGGAGCGGAGCTTGTCCTTGCCCTTCTGACCACCTCCTGGATCTCCTTCCAGCTGGGCTCTTTCCCATCAAAATCTAGAGTCGGCGTAGGTGGATTGATCAGGGACCTGCAGGGGCCTAGGTCTTGCTCTCTGCATTCGTCACTGTAGGTTTGCTTGAGGTGGTGGTCGACCTCAGCTTTGGAGCAGGCAAGTATACCACTGCGCTTCTGTCCTAGCAGCTGTTTTGTGAATCCAAATGGATTTGCTAGGAAGGCAGCTCTTGTCCTGGACCTCTCCTTCCTCCTCCTCCTATGCCACTCAGCTCTCCTCAAGGTCATCAGCTTCTTGCGGATTATGCTGCATAGCTCCGCAAGCGGCCCCCTCTCCTCCTCACTCGCAGCCTTAAACTGCTGCTTCAAGCTCTTAAGTTCCTGCCTGAGCTGATGGATCTTGCTTGCTCTGTTGTTCATGGTGTAGGGAGATTTTGCTTCCCGCTTCTCCTCAAGTCCAAACCTCTCTGCAGCTAGGCTGATGATGATCGTGGTCATCGTCTTGAGGCGTCGTCCAGCTTCCCCTTTGGCAGTTGCTTCCAAGATGGTGTCAGCGTCCTCATCAAACTGGAGCCACTCCTTCTCCTTACTCGCTTGGGGCCACTTCACCCGACGATGTTCTGATGTCCTGTGTGCATCAGGTGTTTGCGTCACCTGGAGGCTCCGGGCACTGTGGGGTGACTCAGGGCCTGGCTCCTCCTGCATCTCACCAGGTGTAGTTCCTGCGCGCTGTGCCTCTACCACCTTCTGCATACATTTCATCTTGGCCTGGTGGATCCGCAGGTCATGTCGGTTCTTGCATATCTTGCCACATATGCATTCCATAGTCGTTGTCGTGTTTCCGTTGCCATGTGTCGTCGTCCTTTGATCCGTCCAGTGGGATTCTCTTCCGCCCCCCCCCTCTCGGGAATCCCTGGGGGTATATTTCCTGTAGGTCGATTCGTAGCTTGTGGTGGGTTCCTTCCTCACAGAAGATGCAGCTCGGGATGCCACCCCTCACTGCCCCAGTGCCGTCTTTCCGGGTCTGTCCGCTGTCTCTCCAGCTGTCACCAATCTGTACTTGGTGGTCAACCAGACTGTTCCTGGTTGTCACTGGTTGTCCCAGAAAAGCAGTTTCTTAGATACACCATTGGTGCACCTGGACACATCATCAGTGATGTAACCTAGGATCACAGGGGGTTTCGGGTCTTTCAACAATCAGACCCCCTCCCCTAGGCGACCCAGCCAGGGTTGATCAGGCCCCAGCTTGTGTCCAGGTAGCCCTACTGCCCTACATGCCACGCCTCACAATCAAAAGGATTTTTTAAAAGTGGAAAAATGCCATTGAACATTTAGCATACTGTATACTGAACTCAATGATGATGTGAGGCGTGTTAGAACCAGGCAAGGTATGGACTTAAATAACAATAGAATAGAAACTAATACTCACTTTGGTGTCATTGTGCAGGTGCACATGTCATGATGGTTCTCAGCTCTCAGTGATGTTCTTTATTCTGAAACAGACAGGATCATTCCAATAGATGTTTTGACTCCTTTCAACAGTAATGAAATGAACTAGAGCTGCAAAACTAGCCGACTAACACTGACCCAAACTTAATTTTAAAAAAACAAAACACATACATCAGCTGATCTGCTGTGTGGACACCTGTACTCACTGGAGGGCTGGGGGCTTCTCGCTTAGAGGTGTGTAGCTGTAATTTTAATGAACTTGCATTTTCAATAAAGTTTTTTTTTGTTTTTTTGTGTGTGAATGTCCTCTTGCCTCTGACACCGGACCAGACTGGATTATTAAAGGTGGCAGCAGCTTTAGGCTACCTTAAAATCTCTAACTACTTAAGTTTATTACAGTATTAATATTCTTCCTACCTAATTAACCAAGACTTTTCCTGTTCATATTTGATTTCATGTCTATCAACATTATGCACACTGCACAAACCTCTGAGGATTCACTCTATACTTCCGTTAGGAGAAATATCATCTGTCATCATGACTATCCTGCCAGATCATATCAATATTTTCCGATGGTACCTGAAGGCAGCACTCCTCGGCTCCTCAGCTCCACCCTCCACCCCCTCCTCTCTACTAGTCCGGGCAGAGAGGTCGATGCAGTAGGACTCACTGACTATCACGGTGCTCTAGCTATCCCCGACAAACGGATCCTGAAGGGTGACACATAAGGTAAGACACACACAGGCCGAGGACTTCATTGACGGGGGGTATTAAATGTGAAGGGTGCGGCTTTGCAGCATACAAATCAAACGGAGACATTATGTTCCCAAACGTCCACCGTGATAAACCCTGTGGAGCCGCGTTCAGAGGAGCGTGTGTCCGCAGGGAGGAGGCCGGGAGTGGGGGGACCAGAGCCGTGGATTTCACTGACCGGAGCCGCTCGCTTCTGGAGCTCATAGGGCGTGTGTACACACACACACACACACACACACACTTCTCCCCGCCCGTGCAGCGCGGGCTCGGTGGAAGAATGGAGGGGTGTGGCGGTTTTTTTTTTTTTTTTGGTTTTTTTTTTAACAATATACTATCGTCAGTGTGTCGTGCACAGTCTCACATGAAGCTGGGAGCCGGCGGCCATGCTGTGGTCACAGACTCTCCTCATGTTATTCTGAGCTGCAGTGATGAAGAAGAGAGTAAAAACATCGACACTGTCAGAAATCCTGTTGGATTAAAGAATGTTTGTTCAATTAAAATGAAGCTATAATAGTTAAAGCCTATTTAGAGTGATAAACTCTCTGTTCATTTTTTTAGAAGCTTTGTTTTAAAAGTGCACACATGGATAGACCCATTTTTATATTTATATCTACTGCTCATTATTATTGATCACTTTATTGTAAACTCTTGTCCTTGTCAGGATCCTGTAAGAATGATGACTCAGTTTTTCCAATGATTTGATTGGTCAAATGTTTGGCTGTTGACAGGTTTTAATGTGACCCTCTCAGTTAACCTGCGTCGGAGCAGGTTAGGAGTTCAGCATAAGTTACCATGGTGATTTACCTTGGTATCAAGTGAACCACTGTCATAGGACTGAAAACCCAGAGTTAAACCTGAAGTTACCTTGATAACCTCTAATCCTGCTTTGTAGTACAGGCCTCAGGTCTCAAAGGGAGGGGACATCAGCGTCTCACCCCTCTTCTTCTATGGCTCAGGCCTGAGAGGCTTTGAGGTGCTGTCAGAAACACCAGCATATTTCCCACAAAGTTTAAGTGGAGAGTTTTTTTTCATTAACATTATATTATATTTTCCTCTCAGATGAACGATGCAGTCCCACATTCAAACCAGTTAAATCATATGAGACTGTCCTGTAAGAAACAGGCCCATAGGTCATCTGTGCAGCGGGTTATTATGACATCATAGTTAGGTTTTGTTGCTAGGCAACATCTTGTGGTCATAGTAATGATGACAGGAGCAAAGGGAAAAGTGCTGTGATGTAGTATGCCTATAAAGAGAGACAAAGTCCATGGCAGGAGGAGGTTCTGGTGGGTGGATGAATATGACACAGGAGAGCAGTGTTCGATTCCCACGTTGTTTCTATTATTCATACACTATTACACTATTATTCATGACCGTTCGTTGTTACTATCATAGCAATGACAACAAAGATCGTCTAAAAGTACTACAAAATCACCATGTTTTCCTAAACCTAATCAAGCCATGACCGTTATTATAATAACCATGGTGACGACGGTAGGTGCAGTCTGCATGTTTATTATTGTAACCATTTCAACTGAGGTCTGGTACGTGATACTGTTTTTATACAGCAGTTCTACGAGCGCCATATTTGTTAAATAAGCAACAACAGATTATGATTTTTTTGTTTATTTCGTCATTTATTTGGCTACGCCAACACAAATTCTTCCAACTGGACTGGTACTGGACTGTTGCTAAGCAACACATAAACATTGTCCTGACCTGCACAGTGCACACTACCTTGCTACTTCATCTACACATTACCTCAGGTGTGTGCTGAAGTATCCAGGCTTCTTCCCTTCAGCCTCGTCTGACGACCAGACATCATTTAATTCAAATTTTATTTTTGGAAATATTTTCATCTTTGTTTGTTACGATCTAAGATAGATAACGACCCTTAATGTAACGCTAATTAATGGTTAATAGAACACCTGTGAAGAGGAGTGATATATGTAGTTAAAAGTCCCAGTGCTGTTGTACTCTATATCAGCAGTCATGGAATGACTCTGTCCAGTCAGATTACTTGGTTGGAACTACCTGTTGTATAACTACCTTTATACTATATGGACCTTTAATCATTTGATCTATAAAAGGAAAGCGTGAAGACTGTTCTGACTTCTCACAGATTGACGAGAATCTTCATAACAACAATCCAAAGATCCTCACAAAGAAAAGCTGAAGCTTCTCGCCTTTAAGAAGCTGGAAACTGTAAATATTTTTGAATTTCTGCTAAAAAAAAAAATGACAAAAACAATTATTTGACAGTCAACCATTAAATGTGCCAAATGAATTTTCTGTCATTGATGAACGGTTGCAGCTCTAAACTGTCAGGTACAGAGCAGCGCAGCTGGAGAAACTTTATTGGTGCAGCCCTGCTTAACTAAGATGCAGCACTGCCTCAGAATAGAAAGGCGGCAGCTGAAAAACAGACAGGTGCAGACTGAGTGGACCGATGGGACTGAAGGCAAGTCCTCTTCCTCAGGTCAGACAGCTCACTGACGATCCACTCTTACTGAATACACACTTGTTTTACTGTGGCAGAGACAGTATTTGAGCAGTTGGTAGTTTCGGCCAGGTGGATGTGGATGTGATTTATTTGAATCAGTTCTCATGTCTGACTTAACATGTTTATGTCACAAAATGTGTTTGTGGCTGAAAAACTGTCAAAACCAAAAGCAGCAACAGATTCATAGTTCAGATTTAAATCCTAATTTTAAACTTCAGACTACATTTAAAGTTATTTTAGAGCTGCATTTTAAGAAGCAGTTCATGTGAGGTTAAATAAGGTCAGGTTTTGCTGTATGTTTCCTGTTGTAATGAAAGGGAACCGCTCGTGTAGAAACTGAATGAAGAGGGTGGAGAAGTGTCATCAGGGCGGATACCTGAGCCACTAAAAGCTATAAGCTGTAAATTTTCTACATTAAAATGTCTAAAAATGAAAAGACCTTTGTTTTTATGTTGTTGAGTTGTGTTCTTAGATAATCCAAAATGTTTCCATCAGTTCTCAAACCAGAGAAATCTGTGATTTTAATCATGTTAACGTTTCATTGGTCGCCTGTCAATGACATATCTTCTGTTATCATGTGTCAGTGTTGTGTTTGTCTGAATGAAGCTCATCATTGACTTTTATCTCGTTTTAAGCCACATAAACCTTTTACACCTTGGTGGTTTTCAACTCTATATTTAAACCAGATGAAGGATTCATCAGACATCTGGATCTGAAAATATCAGAGAAACAAGCTGAGGACATGTTAGACAGCTCAGCTCGCAGCTGCTGGAGACGTCCTATCCTGTGTCCACCCAAGAGTGTCGGTGAATCTCTGATCTTTAAACATAAACTGCTTTATTGGTGTTTCTACTGGTTTTAATCCCCTGGTGTGTTTGTTATGGAGACACCTCTGTGGATAATTCAGCTGCTGATAAAAAGCTGCTGAACCACTGCTGAATCAAACTAGGAGAAGCTGACAGTAATAGTGGTGAAGGCAACAACTCCCATGATCCCACGTTACTTTATGATGTCACCCAATGCCATCTTTTGTTATTGTTTTGATTGAGACCCCTAGAGACAGAAGTTACTGCCCACAGTCAGTAACTTCTGTTAGGGTCTGTGTTGG